ATGTTTTAATAATAGAGACCCGCTCTTCACTTCTTCTTGGATCCTTGAACTCTTCACGGACCGGGCCCATAGAGCTCTCCTGCTTAATGGCTCCTCCTCGTGTAATGTTTACATCAACAATTGATAATACTAAACTATACTAAAAAAATACATTACATGAAAATAAAAAGAAGGACGCAGCCTCCATTTAATAATTACAACCCCAAAAAATACCTGTGAATATCATACATCCATCCATATATCAATCATATTGATTAAGGGTTTTTCCATGATCACCACCCTTCCTCGCGAGCCATAAATTCTAAATTTAAAGCTTTGGAAGGCACAAAGAAAATTATGCACTGAATCAAATTCATGGCCGAGCAACGTAAGCTGCGTCAAGAAATCAAAGCCGATGAAACAAATTTCACGTGCGTGATTCCAAGTTACGGTAGCGTTGTCGCCTCTATATTCATAGTTGTGAATCATTTTGCAGAAGACAAATGCAAAAAGAAAACAAGTTATGGATTTTTTATTCAAAATTGATTTAGTTCCTATTTTTGCTTAGTTCATCAAATTTATCCTATAGATTAATCAACTTCTATAGGCCACTTAACAACAAGCAATTCTCTCAACAAACGTAAATTGGCCATTGGATCGCAAAAATATATATGAACCAAAATCAATTAAACGCATGAGAACGCCTAAGGATTGGCTCTGATACCACTGTTGGTTTTCTACAGAACATGCATAGTTAAATTAAATATAAACGCAGCGGAAAGTTATAGCCATACATGTATCTCCAAAGGCGTTGTTCGTGAGTTTCAATAAAAAATCGGAAAACCATAGGGGGTTAAACGGATTACCTTTCGTAGCGTGCCCAAAACAATTTCGACTCTAATGTTTTTCAGTTCGAACCCCACAAGCTTCGAACCTCTAGTTCAGATACACCACCAATTGCACGACGAACGGAAGGAAAAACTTGCGGGTAATCACCAACATAATTGTTCTAGCAATCTTGTGACGACAATTCTCCGCACTCTCAATATTTCAATCACGGCGTTGGAAGAGAGAAAACGTATTTTCTTAACTGTCACAAACACATGATAATTGCATATTTACTTCTTCTTTTTTCATCTCCCTACAACTGTTGCTGATAGCGCTTTTAATATGGCGATCAGCAACGGTTGCTGATCACATGCACGATCAGCAACGGTTTCTGATCATGTGTGCCATGCACACAGTCAGCAACCGTTTGTTGACCGTGTGCCCTTTTTTTTTAATTAAATTAAAACGCTCACGGACAGCAACTATTACTGTCCGTGTGCACTTATAAATTTATATATATATAAATATATATATATACAAACATAGAAGTGCACGATCATTATATGTGTATTTCGTGAGCATCGTATGCACACACTCCCATGACAAAAATTTAATTAAATTAAATCCCATTTAATTTAATTTCAGTCCGACTCAAGTCAATTGCAAACATATTTGCAATATCATCTCTTCCGTACAACGTCATCCTAAATTGGTTATGGTGTGTGACATCTCTAGGTTCATTACTGAGCTAGTAGTAAGACTTGTACCAACACATTAGTACTCCCAAGAGAATTGATTGTCCCGATCAACCTCTAGGTCTTACAAGCCATGATTGATATCTAACAATATGTCATGGCTACCCAGACAGTGTGAATGCTTTAAGAACATAACGAACCTATCAACTTTGGCTACAGTGTAATTCAATCCTTCTGTCTTACTATGTCCCGATCGAACAAAGACCATGAAATATTTGTCAAGTCACCAATTCGATCCTATGCATAAACCTAATTGACATGCATTTTATATGAGACACGAACAGTTCATTCTCAGTTACAACCCCGGCCGAGGATTTTCATGTAGTGTCAAGATTAGATTGCATAGGACATCATTATTGTACCTTGCGTATAACATGGAGACAAATTCCATTTTGCGCACACGTGTAACTTCGTATGTGAACGAACTATAGCCAGCAAGTACAGAGACGGATCAACGAACCTGCAATATGCGCACCTATGAACCATAGCCATCCAACACACAAGTCAACACTATGCCTCAAGTCTACGGATTATTTACACAAGACCAGAGCATGAATGATTAGGCATTAACCACGCTAAAAGCTTCCATGTTGCTAATCGTTATATATGTGTCACGTTCAGTGAACTTGTCTGGTACAAGCACCTGTGTTCTAACTCAGGCATCACAATACCCAATGAATCGCGACTCGTCATTTTCTTAAATATCCAATACTTAACGGTGAAGCTAAGAACATACCGGTCTCAACAGGATTATTGATATCCACTCAATGATCCATCGACCGGGAACAATTTAAAGATTCAGTCTAACTGTGAACTTATCACACATATTCTTAACATCTCAAGAATAGGTCCAGTCACAACTGATGTTATGGAATCATTCATATATTTAAATAATTGGACAAATGAATGAATACGTCATTGCTATTAAATAAATAATGAAATTGAAAATACAACTTAAATCCCTAACATGTAACTATTACATGATGACTTTAGGGCATACATCTAACAGTCTGTGCCTCCCGATATAAGTCCCTAGGAAAATACATTCATAGTTGTTCTTCATACATGCCATTATTGAAGTAAATATATAACTGATGCAACCAAACTGACAATTTCTAATACATCTAAACTTAATTTAGTTATAGTTAGAGTAAGGATGATGTTTTTTGCTGTAACAGTCGTACCTTCTTCTCAAGACTTGATTCAGATATAGTTTTCTTTTATTCTATTCGTGTACCACATGTTCCCAGCAAATGTTTTTCCGACTGACGAATTGAATTTGTGGTCCACATTGGGTACTTGACATGAATCTAGACATGATCTTTGACGGCAATAATAAATATTATCATCTTTTGGCTCTTTGTTAGAAGTCCAAGTGAAAATGACTTCCATAATAACTTATAAGAGTGATCTTTGTCGTCAATGAATTGGATGATACCACACGGCAATCTGCTTAGTCCAACTTTGGCATTGAAGACGTACGTTGGACCGAAAGACTGGTCCTAAAGAAGAATTTTATAACATTATGCGGAAGAAATTCCTGAAAGTTCAGAAATATTTAATTCAAAAACTTCACATTAGAGCACGGAAGTGGACGGGTGGTTGAGATATTTGTGACTTTTGATCAATTTTCTGGGACTTTGTCGTCGATTTGAACTTCAGGTTTAAAGGTGCCTTTTACTAGATAACTATTCTTGAAATATGATTATTTAGTACATGAAATAATACAGATGAATTACTAAGCAAACAAAATATTGACCACGTTCAAACCATTCGAGAAAGAAGTCATTGATTTGCTGAACAGTTTAATTTTTCATGAATTTATTAGAAGTCTAGCAACCTTGATATGTTAGATAAAGAGAAAAAGGTTTATATCCTTGATATATGCAAAACAATTCGCTCTTGATTTATCACATTGATTTTTTGAATCAATAACTCTTCTTAATACCAATTCGCAAGTATAAATTAATGAAAGAGTTTTGATTGTGCGTAGAACAATGCTATGGATACCGAATCTAATTGTGAAATTGGCTACTGATCTATTGATGCTCCACTTCTTCAAACTTCAAATACCCAATCATAATCAATTTCATCATTTAGTAAATCAATTTCATAATTTTAGTACTAACATCTAAAACAAGGCAATTTTAAATTACTGAATGACCAAAAGACACATGCAAAATCAAGGAAAAAGCTAGGGTGGCTCCTGATTTTTTGAATTGGAAACCCGGCTTCTCTTTCCAATGAAGAAAAACCTCCAATTCTAAGCTGACGAGAGCCCAAGTCCAGTCAAATTAGCTTATATACGGACAATATTTGCCCAAAAATAGTTAGTATTAAGCAATGATCGGTTGGCAGAAGAAATTACCTGGGGAAAATTACCAAAAAGTCATCAATCTATTACACTTGTGCCAATTGAGTCCTAAATCTTTCAATTTGACAATTTAGTCCAAAATCTTTTTATAATTTACGAATTCTATTCCATACATTTTAATTGTGCCGATTTAGTCCTAAAACTTTTGACCATTTGCCAGCTTAGTTCTTCTAGCCAATTTTGGCAAGAAAACACTAACGTGGTGGTCTAGTCTTCACCGGGCATCTTACGTGGCACAACCAGCGTTAACGTGGACAATTTTTTTAATTTTTTTTAAAATTTTCTGAATTTTTTATTCTTTTCTTCTTTTGGTTTCTTCTTCTTTTCTTTTTTTCTTTCCTTTTTTTTCTAACCCTATGCCACCAAGGTCGTTGACCAATCCTCACTCGTGCCTGGATTTGAGGGCGCTAAGGTCCTCGCCTGTGCTGGTGAGGGCCGCCGACCCTCCCCTATGGCCGGCAACCTCACCGGCCCTCACCTATGGCCGGTGAGGATTGCCGGTGACCTCGTCGGCCTTGGGTTGGAAAAAAAAGAAAAAATTCATAAGAGTTTAAATTTTTATAAAAATTATCCACATGACTGCTGACCGTGCCACGTAGGATGGCCAACGCTGACTAGATCACCATGTCAGTGATTTTTTATCGAAATTGACCGGAATTACTAATTTGACAAATTGTCAAAAGGATTATGACTAAATTGGCGGATCATTAAAAGTTTCGAAAACTAAAATGGCACAACTGAAAGTTTAGGACTAAATTGGTAAATCTTCAAAAGGTTTAGGATTAAATTGATCAAATTAAAAAGTTTAGGACTAAATTGACACAAATACAATTAATTTATAATTTTTTTGATGATATTCCTAGTACATATGATAGGTTGAATTCTAGACCATCCCCTCCGGTATAATCGACGAGGGATGCATATATGGCCATTCGTACTTAATGGTTCAGATTCACTTATAATATATGTACGGGTCATATAATAATTTCTTCAAATTAGGAAAACTCACCAAACAAGTGGCTTTATTGATAGTATCAGCATCGCAACTGGGCAGTTCGTCCGCACTACCAAGAATGGAAAGCGTCCATGAAATCTCGGTCACCTTCGACCTCTCCACAAGCCCTCTTGCGCTTGTGCTCATCCAGCCACCCTCCGACCACATCGTCCAATTCCTTGGCCGTCCTCTTCATTGCCTTAACGTAACCTCCGATGTCGAACCATCTCAAAAATAGCAACACATTGGACGCGACAAATTGACCAGCCAACTCGAAGAAGCTCCTCAGCGCAATCCGACACCTGTCATTGTGGTCCTCCTCTGATGCCGTCGTCGTCCCAACGTATCGCTTCCCCACCACCATCTTGAAGATAAGATTGAAGTTCAGGGCGTTGAACCAACTCTTCATCTCGATCGGCATGTTTTCTTGCGCGCTCGACCCTTCGTAAGCCTCCTTTATGGAGGCTCTTACCTCAGCTTCCCGCATGTGCCGGAGTTTCTCGATGGTGTGGTTCGAGAGGAGCTCGAGGGTGGCAGTCTTGCACACTTGCCGCCAGTACGGGCCATACAGGCTGAACCGGAGCATGGCATAGTTGTAGCCAAGGAGCTCGGCGGCAAGGTACTTGGGGCGGTTTGAGAATGCCTTGTCGTTGGTGGTGAAGCACTCTTTGGCGATCTCCGAGCCGCTCACCACTATGGCCCGATGCAAGCCAAGCTTGATGGAGAAAATTGGGCCATACTTATCGGCCATTGAGCCCAAGGTTATGTGGGTCGGATCTGGGCCTCTGGGAAGATGGAGGTGGCCTGTTATGGGCCATACACCAGCGGCCGATGGTGGTGGTGGTGGATTTCGGCTGGCCCGTTTCTTCTGAAGAATTCTTGTTATCAAGAAGGAGAGGAAGGTGACTAGGGCAAAGAGGCCAGCTATGGCCGCTTTTGATGAAGTGTGATTTTGAAGGAGTTGCATGGTTGTAGTTGAGGATAACTGTGGGTTGAGAAGGACACCTATTTATAGAGGAATTGTGTGGAGAACATGGCTGAATTGTTTCTTCGTTATCATATCTTTTCTTACTACCGAACTACATTTTCGCGGTAAAATAGTGAAGGGAGATAAACGACGCTATACTCTCTTTTAACTTTATTATAATAATCATGCACCCACAACGGAGTCTTTAATTTGAGCTGTTACTGCTTTGGTTCCTCTAAACCCAAAGGTTCGAGATTGATGAGTTTGCTTATCTCTATATGATCGGTATGTTAGAACTTAAAATGTCTCTCCACATAAGATAAAACAAGCCTAATAAACTAATTAGTACTCAACCGAAAGAAAAACAAGTTAGTCAAAGGTTCACCACTCTCAAAGTGACTCAAAACTTGTTATCTCATGGAAGACAAAGTGATTCTTTTACCACAAATGATTGCAATTCAACGACAAGCTCGCACCGACCAAAGAAAAACGACAAGTTCGCAGAATAGTACGTGATTATCTATACAAAAAGTATTTCCACCTTAAGTGTTCAATGTATTAGACGGATGATATATATGTGTATGAGGTCAGGCAAATACCATATGAAAATTGGTTTAAGGAAAAATTATGAAATTTGAAAAATAGGAGGTAAGATAAATGAAAATTCACAAGCAAAACAAATATTCCACGTGACATGAACAAATGCACAAATATATATATTTTCCAATCCTTTTTTTTTAGAGATAAATCATCCTTTGTTCACGTTTCAATCTATTAACAATCGCCTGCGGAAAACATGGCCTATTCTTTGTTTTTGTTATTATAGAAGTCTTTTCTTTTATGAACTGATGATTATCTAAGAATTTCCTCTCTTTGCAACTAATACGTATGAATTGGCAAACTGACTCTTTATAAGTTAAGAAATATTGGGTCTTCGACATCTGGTAAGTTTAGATAAATTAACCATACTTTTTGATAAATTTAATGGATAAACCATGGTTCCCAACTATCGGCATAGGTCCACCAAATCATTATACAAAGGAAATAATCATTCATATTGCACTAGAAATAAGGGTGATCATCGGTCTAGGGTTGATCCAAGACCGGCCTAACCTGACCAGTCTTAGTCCAGTTTCTAGGGGGACTGGACCAGTCCCTAATTCTGGGACCCCCGAATCTATTCTATGCGAGTTGGTCCTAAGTCCTAGAACTTTAGGGTTGGTCCAACTCAGACCAACCCTATATATAAATATATATATATATATATATATATATATATTGTGATATTCCAAATTTTGGCCCACTTGGTATTTATGAAATGCATAATTTTAATAACGCATTTATAGTAAATCTCGCCCAGACTTGATCACTCTTGGGACACTAACCAATAGGGAAATGCTAACTAAAGATCTAGATTCGCGCGACCATAGAACCTAACCATGGACTGACTTTCGACCATAAGGATTGTCAAGGTGATATTTTGGGCTAATATAGACCGATCTAAGGATGGTCATGGATCGATTTGCGAATGCCGTATAATTGGATCGCGGGTGATTCCGCCTCGCCAGAATACGAAATTTGCGAACGATCTCAAACCTATTCTAAACGATCGCGTTCTTTAGAACTAGTGATTGATCCTCGCAATTATATAACAATCGAGGTCGCCATGGCTCAAGTGAACTTAAACGTGGCTCGATTTAGTATCGACCACGGATCGAATATACGAATTTTCCTGAAAGCCGCCCGTTAGTTTGAGATACACTCAAGTTGCGTTATTTGGAGTTAGTCATTAATTAGAGACCGAGTTTGGGTATCGAAAATTTTGAAAGTCATGACAGAGTAATTGGACGACGTCGTTATTAACGTGGTCAGCCTCGGATTTGTCCGAATTCGTTAGAAAACTGAAATTTTGACAGAAAGTGAAAAATGACCATTTTGCCCCTGGGATTTTGTGAAGACCAAGTGTAATATGAGAAGGGCATTTTGGTCATTTCATACCAACTTTAGAGATAAAAAATTTTGGACGATTTTGCCCCTGTGCTTTTGTGAAATTTCAATTTTGCCCTTGGATATTTTGATGGAAATCTATCTAGGCCGTCGATTAGAAATTAGAGAGAGGGGTAGGATGGTAATTTTCCAAGGGTAGGCTAGACTAGGCTTTTCTTTTCTTTTTCTTTCTTTTCCTCTCTCTCTCTCCCCTCATTTCTTACGCTCAACTCTCCCTCTCCCTCTTCTGGCCGAGAACTCCCTCTCCTCCTCTCCCTCACGTGAATTGGCCAACCGGCCAGCCAATTGCCGTCCGTTCGTCGCCGTTCCTTCGAACCGTCGCTCGCCCTTTCGCCGTGTCACACCACCACCGCCACCGCCGTATCTCTCCCACGTTTTCCACCGTGAAACACCCTCACCAGCCCCCATCTCAGCCCAGCACAGCCGAGAAAGCCAGCAGCCTATCGCCGCCGCTCGTGGCTGCTGGTGAACCGCCGGTACCCCTCATCGTGTGACGCCGCTGCCGCTGCTGTTTCTCCTCTGTACAGCCGCATGGTAGTGCTCAAATCTTGCTTGGAATCACAAGTAAGTGATATCCTAACCCTCGCCTAGGATAACGGGTAATTTCGGGTTAGTTCGGGCCCGTTTTAGCGAGTTTTAGGGGTTATTCGTAGAGAAATGGTTGGACTGATTTGGCTGAGTGGTTTGGATGGAATTGTGATAGTTTTTGAGGTGGAATTGAGGTTAGAATTGATTAATTAGGTAATCAGAATGATTACGGATGATTATCGTGATTTATTGCGTAAAAAACGGGCCTAAATGTGCCGTTATAGTGATTTTTCTGTGGTGGTTGAGTTGCTGTACATATTGTGGCTGAATTGGTGCATGTTTATGTTCCAAATGTGGTGCATGCTGGACTGGGGTTGTCGGTAGGAGTACAACGCCCTTGAGTGGTGTAATTTGGCTTAAAATGCAAAAATTCGCATTAAATTGTGCACGTGCGAATTGAATTGGTAAAATTGTGGGTTAGCATGGCTTATGGGTAACCTGTATATGTTGGATGACGTGTGCAAATTGGTCATATGAAATTGGCATGAGATTGGATGCCGATGTGTTGCATGGCCATTAAATACCCTGAGGCGTTTTTACGCGGGGTCCAGATAACAAATGGAAAATGTGTGCACGTGCGATAACATAATCCCTTAAGCGTGTTTACGCAGGGAATTGAACCCGTCCTGAGGCGTGTTACGCGGGACGATGCCCGGTTTTATCGGAAAACCGCCAACTTGATGCTTTTTACACGGGTTGTGCCGCAAAAAGGAGATGGTGTTGCGCCTGAGGCGTGTTATGCAGGCTAGAGACACTGAGCCTGAGGCGTTTTGATGCGGGCTATAGAAGTGTTGTTCAACCTGATGCGTATTACGCTGGTTGTGTTGTAAAAAAGGAGATGGTGTTGCACCTGAGGCGTGTTCGTTTACGCGGACTAGAGACATTGAGCCTGAGGCGTTTTGACGCGGACTATAGAAGTGTTGTTCAACCTTATGCGTGTTACGCGGGTTGTGTTATAAAAAGGGAGATGGTGTTGCCCATGAGGCGTGTTCGTTTACGCGGGCTAGAGACACTGAGCCTGAGGCGTTTGACGCGGGCTTTAGAAGTGTTGTTGGACCTGAGGCGTGTTTACGTGGGTCAGAGATCGATGGCTAGTTTTTGGACCTGAGGCGTGTTTACACGGGTCAGAAATGAAATGGGAATTGTATGATGCTGTGTTTGTTATGCGAATGTGGACATGAATATGGTTGATTGGTATTATTGAGTGCGACATGGTGTCGGTTTCTGGTAATAATGCTTGAATTCGCATGTAAGATTTCGTGCGTATCAAGGTGAGACATTTGTGCCTGCTATTGTTCTGGCTTGATAGTTGTGTGATTTGTGTGATCGAACATGCCCAGAGATACGTGTTAACCTAGGTTGGGTTTAGGGTGTTGCTTACTGAGAAGTGTTCTCACGGTTTTATTTAAAACCATTTAGCCGATCGAAGTTCCAGCGGAGTCGGGAAACAAGGACAATCCGATTGAGATCAATGGTGAGTCCAAGTCTTCAGAGGAACAGACTGGCATCGACAAGATTGATTCTGAGTGCGCCCCCTCTAGGGCGAATAGGGGTTAGTTAGAAGTTAGGGGTTGGATAGTTTCGAGAGGCGCCCCTTTTTGGTGGTAGTATTAGTCTACCCGATGCCGCTAGTCCCTTTTTGATATCGGCGGTTGTTGGTGCAAAGGTTGCTGGTTATGATGGATTGTAATGGATATTGTATATATCGCGGTATAATATAGTGCTTGGTGGTTTTGTGATTTGTCTCTCCCTGTTACCCCATTTTTGTTTTGTCAGGGAGTATGTTTTTGTTTCCACAGTGTTTGACTTTGATATGTTGGTTTGGGTCGGTAACGTTTCCTAGGACGTCGCACTAATTCGACCGAGCTTGGGGTGTCGCGCGCTCGTCGGGGTTCGGGGCGTGACATATATATATATATATATATATATTCTTTGTTCAAACCCTAGGTCCCTCCTCTTCTTTCTTCTACCGCTTAAACTAAAAAGTTAAAAACCCCGTTGCCTCTCTTTTCTTGTTTTACGTCTAATGAACGACTTCTCTTTTTTTTTTAGATATGGATTGTTTCACCGATGAAATTACCATTGATAAATAGAGTTTACACGTTAAAGTTCAATGAATTTAAGTGGTGAGTGAGATGTTCTATTAATTGCATTAATATTAATTTCAATTTAAAACTACTGTTAAGTATTAATTATGTTTGTAGTTTTTTTTTTTCAGCTATTCAGAACTTGAAGAGATCTTTTAAGAATGAACAAGATATAAAATTGTATAATTCAAGGTTTATGCTACGTATTTTGAGCTGTTATTATTTAATTTTATTACCCGTGTTCATCTTCTATGATTTGTTGCTTTTGGCAAGTGGAGATTTCTTGTTTTGCCTTATGGTACATTTCTATTTGTTTTG